AGGGTTCACCATCACTCTTCCTCAACTCATAGTTCACCAAAGCTGAGGTCACCTCCTTGTAGCTAACTGTAGTTCTTCCATTGATCATAGTGAGAACGAACGTACCATAATCATCTTCGGGCAACGAACACAGAAGTAGCATCGCCTTGTCTTCATCCTCAACTATAATATCAACATTGGCCATATCTGAAAGTAGCTTAGTGAAATTGTTGACATGCTCCCTGATGGAAACCCCTCTCTTCATCTTGAACTGGTAAAATCTCTTCTTCAAGTGAAGCCGATTCTCAATGCTCTTCGTAAGATATTTCTCATTGAGTGTTTCCCACATCTTCTTCGCCGACGTCTCGTTCATAACATCATAAATAAGATCCGGCGTCAAGCATGACCTAATAACACCACAAGCTCTACTGTTCATCTTTCTCCAAACCTTATCCTCCAACTCAGCGGGTTTCTCTTTTAACTCAAGAGTCTCCTCCAAATTCTGTGCATCCAAAGCATCCATCACCTGACACCTCCACAATCCAAAATTGATCTTGCCATCGAACTTCGGAACATCAATCTTCGTGTTATTGATGCTCAGACTCTGTATCGCCTTTGTTAGAGACGAACCTGACGTGCTTGCATCTCCCATGTTGTCGATCTAGCTCTGATACCAATTGTTGTGCGCGGCGGAAGCTTTCTAGGGCAACACGAACAATAACTCGAACTAAACCACAAACAATATGCAAACCACAATCACAGCAAGAACACACAATTTACGTGGTTCGGCAAGTTGCCTACGTCCACGGGGCAAGGAGGGGGGAGTTCTTTCTACTAGAAATCAAGAGAATACAAATAGGGTTACAAATCTCTCAGACCAAACCCTAAAACAAAGCTCTAGATCTCTCAAAGCTCTCTCACAATTGGATGCAATGATTCTCTCTCTTTGGCTGCTCAAATTCGTCCAACCTCTACCCTAAACAAACAGGTTTAGGTATATATAGAACTTACAAAACGAATCGGGTCGAAAACCTGAAAGCCCAGCCCAAAACAGCGTCGGTCGACCGGACCGGTCGACCGCGATCAATTCCGGTCGACCGGCCCGGTCGACCGATCACCATCCAGCAGAAGCCCCAAAAATCCAGAGAGCCGTCGGTCGACCGCACCGGTCGACCGAAACATCTGCGGTCGACCGGGCCGGTCGACCGACCTCCTTCCAGACGCACAGGAACCCTTGTGCACGAATCCGGTCGACCGGACCGGTCGACCGCCGCCTGTTTTTTTCTGATTCTGCTGCTGATGCTGAAATTCCTTCATTACCAACAATCTTATTGCAGCAAGCAACCAGTCCTTCTGCATGAAGACTATATATATTGAAGAACCAGCACACAAAAATATCAGCTTTTACTCTATCGTGCTTTTGATGTACTCAATCATCAATTCTTGAACTACTTTGGTATTGATACTTGTGGAGTTATCACCATTTGGCTAAATTCAAGATGATATGTTTAACTTGTTCACTTTCGTTAACCACTTCGCCCAAAACTTTATGCTATTATGCAGATAGCTCAATTTATAAAATGTCAGTTCAACGCTCAGACCTTCTTTGTGTGGTAGATATTAACTTGTGAGTAGAGAAAAAAAAAAAATTTATGGTAAGATTTAATAGGATGTCTTTTTTTTAGATAGCTAGGTGATGGTCTGTACTTGATCTTAGAGAGGAGGTTTTGGAGTTTTATAAAGCATAAGGCAACCAAAGCAGGTAGTTTGCAGATTTTGACATGCAATTAGTAGGTAAGTTCGCCCTCAACAATAAAATTGAAAGTAATGATATCAATAAATATGAAACTGAAGTTTTTAAAGTTCTGATGCATATAAATAGAAGCTTTTCTAACTTATCTAACAAGTAATCCACTTTTCCACAATCTCCCATTAACTTCCCCATACCACTCGGGAATATCAAGGGTAAAAAATGCTTTCAACGTGTATATCAATTGACAATAATAATATCATTATCAATAAAAATAACTTCCTATATTCTGATATATACAAATACAACCTTTTGAACTTAGCATGCAATTATTACGTAATTTTGTAGCTTATTTACATCCATGTAATTAATGAGTAATCCACTTTTCCACATCCTCACCTTGACTCCCCTTCTCTCTCCAAAGAATCTCAAGAGTCTCTACAATAGTGGGATGCGTTTTGCTACAGGGACCCAAAATATGAGACCAATAGGGGAGGGGGGACAAGTGAGGTGTCCCCCCTCCTATTGGATAATGAGTTGGCCATCATTGGACATCTCACTTGTCCCCTCTATTGGTCCCATATTTTGGGTCATTGAGGAATTTTTTTAGTGGGATATGAAGTCTAATTTAACAAATTGACGAGAACACATTTTCCGTGTATTATGGCAAATTCTTGATCGATTTGAGAGATATAATCTTTTCCATTTATTTGTTGAGTAATTTAATTTTGAGGAATTCTTAATCCTTTTGAGAAATACGTGATTTCTCACTGTTATAGGGTATAACCTACTCCCTGCAAATTTGCAATCCCACGAGCCGTCACTCCCCCAGTCGGGTCGGCATCATTCCTTAAGGATAACTCGAGGGGTGGACTCAGTCGATCCTCAAAGCTAGAAAACCACTCCCTCTTAGGGCAGATGTGATATGTAGCTCCCGAATCCATCATCCAC